TCGGTGAGCACCATCGGGTTCGTCTCGTCGTTCTCTACGTGTAGGTGTCCTCCAAATCCGCAGCCGGTCGCCCTAGCTCCGGCGAGGTCGCCATCCGAGCCGGCCGCCTTTGATGATGTCATCATGACATCATCGGTTTTTCTTTTTCCCGTTTTTCTAATAGATTAAATCTTCGGAAATTCATAACTAAATCATCGTAACTCGGTTTTGAGTGGTTCAAGTTGCTAAATTCATCTAAAATCATGATCTACATGTTCGTTTACTTTATATGTATTGTTTTTTTGGTTTTTATTAGTCTTTTTCTTCGTTTTGCGTGTTAGCTTGTCGTTTCCGTCGTTGCGAAGGTTCGTGAGTGCGTCGGAAGTGATCAAGAAGATTAATTGAAGACCGATTATTGCAAGGCAAGTCACACAGATCCTAAACACAATCCTTTGAGCATGTTGATCCTATATTTAAATTCTCTATTTATTTCAACTGTGCATTTATTTTCGAATGTCACCGGGTGGTGTGAACCTATTCCTTTGTTATGGCCAGTTTGCATTGATTACCCTATTCCTTGATACCTTGGGTTATTATAACTTGACTAGTTGGGCTTTATATATTGGTTCAGCTAGATATTAGTTATGATTGCTTAGCCATGCTTAGAAACATTAGCATACTATTGGGATAACTTATGACTCACTATTATTTAAGGATGGCTTAATGATAGTTCACGATGGTTAATCGTGATTGGTTAATTAATTACTTGCCAACTAAAACTTGATAATGGTGGGTTGTGAGCACATGGTTTTGAGAGTCGTGCTCATGGCAATTAAGGACCGGTTCGCGAGCTACTATTGTGAGACATTTACCGTGCCAACCACAAGCCAGCGTGGGCAACGGCTTTATCTTTTGTATAGCGTGATTCATTATAGTGCGCCAGACTGAGAAGTGGCGAGAAGTCCACGGGGGTCGCTGGGGAGTCCATGCCTTGTTTATAAGGGGGTGATTATGATCCAGGAAAGGTGCGCTGTAATGGGTTATGTTGTGCAAGGGGTATTGTCACAACTCCTTTCCGAGGTACCGTGGTGGTATTGAGGCACATGGTGACATGATGTGGGGTTGTGTCTTGTGGGTACAGTGGTACACCTCTGGCCAGAGTAAAACTATTCGAATAGCCGTGCCCGCGGTTATGGGCGGGTTGAGCAATGTTTTTCGTGATTAGTCTCACACCTCTCACAATAATTATGGATGTTATAACTGGTAACAATTTGCTTAGCTCCTGGTTTGGAGTTAGATCTGTACAGCCGGGTATGGTTGTTCAGGATGGTTGGGCCTGTGCAGCATGGGTGTGCTGTTCAGTGTTGATTAAAATTTCTGATTAATTACTCCACTGTTTTACTTCTCTTAAATGTTTTGCTAAATGCTGCTTTTGCAAATGAGCCTATATTATGCCATCCTTTGGTATCCTTGTGCACTTGCATATTTGCTGTGTGGCTTGTTGAGTATGTCATATGCTCATTCTTGCAATAATCAATCAAACCTCAGTTGAAGATAAAGGATCCAGAAGGAGAAGACGTTTGGCTTATACCCCAGTTGAGCTGCCTGTGGGAGTGGAGCTGAAGCCATCGCTAGACCGTAAATTCCGCTGCTGTTTTCTTTTCTTTTGTAAGTGTGTAACGTTATTATTATGATGGATTTGTATATTAAATTGTCAGTTTGTGTACCTCGGCTGATTCCTGGACGAGGATTTTATGCACAAATAAGTTCGGAAATTACTAGTGAATTTCCGGGCGTGACAGTTGTCGATCGTTAGCTAGTAGTGTCATTGAATAATTTGTGCTAGTCATATGTTCGTAAGCTAGCTAGATCCCTAAATTTATCTCTTTGAAGTACACCGTCGTTGTTAATTTGTTTGGCATTATGATTAATTTGACTTCTACCTCCAATGGTGTACTGTCACAATGTGCATCTTATCAAATTATTATATAATTTCGATACATATATAATGATATTTCTCGGCGAGGGCGTTTCAGCCCGAGAGAAAAGAAAATCAGAGCACTGTTAGTCTCCTGTGTATTCCGGCCGGTGGCTATCATCATATCTTATTATCTTATCTTATATAGTGAAAGCAACAAGCTTTCTTACACGAGAACACGCCACATCATCAAAAACATATCAACCGTTGAATAAAGAATTTAGATAAATAATGGCCATTGGATCAAAAGGTTACATATGCATTAAAAAAATAACAATAGCATAAACATATGGGAATTTATAGAGGTTTCTAGTGCCTCCTCTTATAGACACATGGTACAAAGAGAGCGGGGGCAAAGATAATGAAGAAAAAAAAAACCAAGAAGCTTCTAGTGATTTCTCATATAGCACGACTTAGCTAAATCTATAGTTAGCTAGACCAATAGATACTTTGTAAATAAAATAACTCATCTAAAATCTTCTATAAACTAATAGATCCTATACAACAAATAGTTCTTATATGGAATCAAAAGTCGCGCAACGCATGGCTTGTTATCATTGGGGATATTAAAGAGACGTTTCAAAGTTTCTAAGATCCAAAAGTTTCAAAGACGCATTACAAATCGATCTATTTAATTTGTAATTATTTCTGTCATTTCAGTATCATGATATGCAACCTCTGTCCAGGTGATGCCATCAGAATTTGAGTTGATGATCTCTTTCATCGTATCGATCCAATGCAGATTGATTAGTTGAGAATATATAGGAAATGTCGGAATGAACAATCATGAATTATTAGAAAAATGTAAATTAAGGAAAATATATCCAACATGCCTTAACTCTCAAATTAAGGAATGTGACTCAGTTTCAAGATTTGTGTTTCATAACATGTTCCCTCTGCTCAAAAATACATGGCCATGTGTCATTTTTTTTTTCAAAATTGGCTTATAAAAAAAGTAATGAATACTTAGTTTGAAAACATATGGTGTGTTGTACATATGTCATGAAAAGTACACATACAATCTCATAAAAGTTTCTACGGAAATTAGAAATTATAACCACTAGTCGCTAACCCATGCATTACATAGGCTACTCTTTAATATTAAAATTATATTATTACATTGCATGTGTTGGTTGTGAGTTGATATTGATCTGCTCATACTAAAATTAGGGTCCACGTTAGTTACAAGTTACTACTTATGAATTTTGAATTCTAGATTTTAATTAATAAATACTAAATTCAGAGTATAAGATGGATACGATATGATATTTTTAATTATGAATTTTATTACTAAATTAGAGTCTGTGCTATTTTCATTTGTGTCATTTGTTTATTTAACATGACTCTCAGCATGAACTACATTCACAATAATCCGATGCATCAAATCAATTTCTAGCTAATGTGAGAGTTCATAGAAAGTTTTAATTAGCATAAGTGCAAATAGATTGTATTTTGTTTTACTGATGAAATTACAATCATGAAATATGCTATCCAACCTTCATTAATCTCTTCCAATTAATTCATGTTTTTATACTACAATAATATTATTATTTGCAGCTTACTATTGGAACCCTCATATCCAGAGAAAATTTAGTGGTAAAGAAAAATGTCAAAGCACACCTCATTAATAGAAAAGTAGTACACATGGGTAGACAAAGAATGTACATTGAAGAGATAAGATTTCTAAGTTTGCGAGGTAAGCTAAGCTTTCTTCCTTGTCCATGCCCGGTTTAAGTTCAAGCCTTTACACGAATGCTCGTATTTATGACTAATTATTCTTTCAATATGTAGTAGGTGACGATATATCCATCAATATCGAGATATTTGTGATGACTTTGTTTATTCTATGATATTCTAATCCAGTCTTAAGAGGTGCTCATACATTTAGAATTTGTGTGTGTGTGAGTGTGTGTTTATAAGAGTATGTGTTTGTGCGTGTGTATGAGAGTCGACGTTTGTACTGCATGTCAGATTATTTAATTTGCCAAGTGAGGATAGATAAAAGGACATAAATCAAATTTAGAGTTTAAGTTATTTTGGGACGGAAAAAACAGATATAGCAAGTGAAAAGCAGTTTACCAAACAAGAAAAAAATATAGTTTACCAAACGGAAACGACTATATATATATATAGATGATAGAAATTATTAGTACCAGACATCTGACGCAACAAGAAAAATGGGACGAGAAAATTACTAAATCTTGTCCACTCCACACATCCATACATGCTGTAATGATTTTCAAAATATTTTTTTCTTTTGAACTACTTATCCAATCTATGATATAATCACACCATTATATTTGTTATAATTAAATCTCATATTCTTACATTCTGATGAAAGAAAAGATATGTTTCAATCCTTTAAATTAAATGTTTCAGACGTGATATATAGAAATATATTTCAAACATGTGTTTTTATTATGTTTCATAAAATAATTTAAATGTTTCACTAACTGGTGTTTCAGCATGTATAACTTAATGTTTCACCAATGACCGAAGAAGTACAGGATGGTCAGGCTCCTACTCTCTCTCCTGTCATTCTATTGACTCCCTCACCATGCATGCATGCATACATGTATTAGTGATCTTAAAAATATTTTTTTCTTCTAAACTATTTATCTGATGAACGATTCGATCACACCGTTGAATTCGTCATAATTAAATCTTTAAAGATATCCCATGATTATATTCTGATAAAAGAAAAACATATGTTTCAAACAATAAAAACTTATTGTTTCATACGTAATAGCAATATGTTTCACCACGTGTTCTCATTTTGTTTCACAAAATTTCTATATGTTTCATAGGCTGATTTTTCTGTTTCATCGTGTATAACTTAATGTTGCATCAACGGTCAACTGAAACATTTGATTAGGCGGTAGCCGTTAATTAATCACACTCATATCATAAGTTGGTCATGATGTGGTGCATGCGTACATTATATTGGTGAAGTTTTCCGGCTGAACAGGTCCATATGCATATGCATGAATATTCAACTAACTCAGTCACTGCCGTTATCCACCCACATTTCACGTCCCCCATCAATCGAGCGCCTTTGATTTCTCCTCTCTATAAATAGACATCTTATCATCATATCTCTTCATGATAGAACAGTTTGATTCCCATATCATAGGAATTAGTTATCGATTCTGAAGCTAGCTACAAGTCTCGGGTAATAATTAAGCCCGATCAGAGCTAATCAGCCATGGTTGGGAGAAAAGCTGCCATTTGTTTCGTCTTGATGCTTCTGTTATCACTTGGGAATTCTATACCAACACCTATAGGTTATTCTCTCTCACACACACTGTTATACTCATTTTTTTATCAAAGAATCTCATGTATATTCTCATTGTGTTGAAGGATATACATATTTAATTTGTCGATAAGAACCAATTCATTTTTCAGTACTTTTAAATGTTTCTCGATTTTTAAACCGAAAACTTGATTTTTAAATGTTTCTTGTGATTAATTATGGCAAATGAAATGAGATTATTAATGGTATAAGTTACTGATGGGTTAAATTAATTTATGGCAGATACTTGTACGCAATCTGTTTCCATATTGCCGATCTGCGTGGGTTTCACATGCAAGTACCACTGTTGGGTTTTCTCGAAATTCACCAAAGGCAAAGCCATTGATCACAAGTGCTTGGGAAAAGGTTACAAGACAAAATGTTACTGCTTGATTTGCAGGAAATAGTAGCACTGAAGATGAGATGTTGCCGGGGTCAATGATTTGCTAGAGTCTTTAGTTAGGTTATTAGCTAGTCTGGTCGAATAATTGATTTGTGCTAATTTTTTTGGTAATAGGGTGATTGATTATTTCAATTTCAAATAATAATATATTATCTTGCTATGGGAACTCTCTATAAAGTGTTGTGATACTGGAATAGTCTTGGTGATTTTGAGAAGGAGCAACTTACATATGGTGAGTGATAGGCAGGGTTAAAAAAATATTTGGTGACCCATTGCCGCTTGGGAGTGGTTTCATCACTTATCACAGGTTGAGCTCAATAAATGACAAAAAACTAGTGAAATTTAGACAAATCTTGCCAAAACATTGATTTTATTTTTGAACTTGTTGGCCAGTTTTCCAAGCAGTTTATTGATCTTGAATTTATTTCATCAGATCTTAAATTTTCATATTGGATTATTCTATACTTAATTGGAGATAAAAAAAATGCTCAAATGCTATGGCCATGGGAACAATCTTATTATTTGAGTACATGACTGGCTACATCAAAATAAATAGAAAAGATCATCATATCTTCACAATTATGGAAATGTTAATAACTTTACAAAATAACAATAAAATTCTCATATCCGAAGCAACCATTTATTTTAATTTTTTAATTTTAAGCTGCCATTGGATGATCATCGCAATGTACAAATTTCACTAGAAAAATACCCTTTTATCCTAACCAAATAATCTAGCTTGCACCCACCATTTTGTAGCAATTCATCATACACAAGTTCTGCAGCCACGTGCAGGGGATCTCACTAGTAACTCTTTGGAGTTGTGTTTTCAAGTGTTCATTAATTTGTTTGGTACCCCTCCATCCCAAATTATAAGGCCATTCCCAATCCATTGACTGGTATGATATCCATAGCATTAAATAAGCTGCAATCTAAGATGAAAAAATAATGTGGCAAGTGAATAAACGAGTAAAGAGAAGGAAACCAGGTCTTACATGAGACATGGTTTCTACACAACATATTAGTATTGACGAAATAAAAGCCGTGTACAGTGGTGGCAAAAAATCGATGGATCCTATCCGACTCAGAGCGATTTTTTAATAGACGGTATTTTTTTAGCACCGTTTTTTAAAATGGCGCGTTTTTTCTTATAGTTTTTTCCTCCCATGTTTTTTTTAAAAAAATTACCGACGTTGGAAATAATTTTTCTCACGTGTTTTTTATTTTTTTATGGAAGATGGAAAGCCTTTTTTAGCATTTTTTGCGCTTTTTCCTGACTTTTTTCTCACGCGTTTTTTTGAATCATTGTTATTTTCTCGTGCATTTTCTCTTTTTAAATCGTTTTTATTTTCTCGTGCATTTTGAATCGTTTATATTTTCTTTTTACGCACCTTTCAGCTTTTGTTCTCTCTCTTTTATTATTATTTTTTAAAAAAACAACCTCAAGTACCTTATTGCAAGATTATAGGGACTCAAATATAAATATAAAAATTACAGGGACTCAAATGTAAAAGTACAAACCTAAAAAATAAAATCATATAAAAATGGAATGCTCTCGACCTATAGGTTCCGTCTTTTATACAGATCTTTAATCCGGCACATCATTTTGTTTCACCAAGATGTGTGAGATATCACGGTATAGATTAAAACTGAAAGGAGTGGTGGCTAATATCTCGGACTCAGAAGGAGTGGCTCCTTTTATTTTTCGTTTTTAAGGGGGAATCGGATCTATAGTCGGACCTTTTTGTCGTTTATGAGAGGAATCGGATAGGAGTCGGACTATTTTTTTTCGCTTTTTTTTCTTTCGCCCCGTTTTTTTTATCGGACAATTATTTTTGGGGAATCAGACAAATTCTTTTTTCCCCCGGTTTTTATTTTACCACGTCAGATTTGTTTTTTTTTCGCACGTTTTCTTACCCCCGGTTTTTTTATCGGACAATTTTGGTTTTTTTTTTTCGCCCGGTCTTTTTTCGCCCTTTTTTCTGGTTCGGACAGATTTGCAGATTTGTTTTTTCTTTTCTTTTTTCCGCACATTTTCTTTCACCCGGTTTTTTTATTAGATAATTTACGTTTTTCTTTCGCCTGTTTTTTTAGATTGGACAATTTTGGTTTTTTTTCGCCTCTTTTTTCTGGATATTTGTATAAAATATATAATTTAAAAATGTATTATGATCCTATGATACCATGATACTGCAGATCTATCCTATAGCTAGTATCTATACTGATTACCTTGGTGAAGGGGTGCCTCCACGCCGCCAAAGGAATCGTGGCAGCAGAAACGGGGGATTGCCTCCTTGCAATGTGTGTAGGGCAGTTGGATTTCGATAATGATGATGACGAAAGATATTCGGACGTTATAGGATCGATCCGATCGATACTATGGTACTCCCACTATTTACTATAAGTCATTTGACTTTTTATTAGTCAGATTTTGTTAAGCTTAATCAAATTTATAAAAAATATATAAATATTGTCAATACAAAACAAACATATTATAAAAATATATTCAATGTAAAATGTAATGAAACTAATTTTATGTTATAGATGTTGCTAACTTTTTTCATAAACTTGGTCAAAATAAAAAACTTTAACTATGAAAAAAAAAGTCAAATAACTTATAATTTGAAACAGAGTGAATACTACAAATCAGAAAACGGCATTAGCTAAGTATCTACTCCCTCCGTACTCGAATTAGATGTCGTTTTGGCATCGCTCGCGTTTTCGCAAAGGATGTCGCTGTACGCTCGGAGGAAAGGAGGTGGACGTGTTTGCCCCTGCGCATGCGTGCTCGTCGTCCGCAGTAATCACGCGCATTAATCGTGCCTGTTCGTTAAGCTCGCTGCTCGGACTCTGTTCAGCGAATCAGCGCTCGCATCGCCTCGCTGCGCACGCTTGAGTTAATTTCTTCGTAGGCGCATGCTCGAAGAAATTATTCGCTGCGCGGCTTCCTTCCTCGTCGCAGGTCCTCCTCGCCTCGCCTCGCCTCACAGCTCGCCGCTCGCCGCACGTCCTCCTTCCTTCCTCGCGCTCGCGTTCCTCTCCCGCAGCACGCTCGCCATGGAGCTCGGCGCCATGAAGCTCGCTCTAGACATGGAGGAGACGCTGGACTCAGAGGTCGCACTCGACTCAGAGATGACGCTGTGGGACTCAGTCGAGATGGCGCTGGACTCCGTCAAGGTGGATCTGGACTCAGTCGAGGTCGCACTGGACTAGAGTGACGCCTAAGCAAACCTTTTTTCAAATACCTTTGTATCCTAGCTTTGTTTATACCAAGTTTACTAGACACATCTTCTATGGTCATTCTTTACTTGAGAGGAATGTTGCGCAATTGTTTCAAATCAAGAGGGATTGCCTTATGGCCACATCTACCCTTCTTTCTACTTGCAACCACAATTGGACTGACCGAATGTGCAATCCAAATTGATTAGCAACAATTCTTGTATCTGTATTGCCTAGTGTCCCATTCTTGCTTTTAGCCAGCAATACTTGATACACTTGTTTTCTGACTTCTTCTGTCATTTCTTTCTTTCGATGGTTTGGTTCTAGTAAGAGGAAAAAAAACAAGCACATTCAAAATAATATCCACGGCTTACCTAAAAAACAATCATACATGGAAAGTACAAACTGAGAAAGGAAATAATAACCACGGCTTACCAGCGATGTTTTGTACGAAATCAAAATCAAATGCACCATATTCATCTTAGTGGTAAGTTCAAATCAAATCCTGTCGAAAATGAAAGAACACACTGATAATGGAAACTAATTTGCATGAGACTGCTGTGAATATCAAAAAACAAAACTAATTTCCTCATACTCCAACGGAAACAATGAAACAATGAAATGATGCATTACCGTTGCCGTGCTCTGCCGCAGGTTCGTTGAGATCGAACCCAGGAAATAAATCGGCCATGTGCGGATGGCTCAGTACATGAACAAGTGAGGAAGAGGTGGCGTTAAGAAGTGGCGTGTCTTAAATAGATCAAGCAGGAGATGGGAGACCCAAGCGTCGGTCCAGACAGCGTGCCGTGAGCGCGCCAGTGAAAACCAAGGCAAAAAAAAAAACGAGCAGCAACGCGCCAAAACCGAATGCCATGCAAATGAGCCAAACTCGCCCGCTAGCGAAGGGATTTGAACCATATGCCCACAGGCCTTAAGGCGCGGCTGCCTAACCAATCTAGCTACGAACAATTCTTGCACAAGGAAACCCACCTGATCATTTAGAGCAGGTACAATAGGGCTGACCCATCAGCTCCAATAATTGCCACGTCACATTATTTCTACGTGGAAGGGTAATGATTGAGGGGAAAGAGAAGAGCTGGCGACTAAATTGTCGCCAAGCTATAACGCATTTTTTGGGGGCATAGCGCCCGCTTGCAGCGCATTTAGATTGGATGACATGGGGTAGGTATGTCACAAGGTGACATAGTGTAGATCTCAGTCCTTCGAAATAAATCCAGCGGCTGAGATTCGTCCACGTCATTACAAGTTAAAATTTAACTCCAATAAAATTTTAACTCCTGAAATTTTAACTACCAGTAAAATTTTTACTCATACGAGTTAAATTTTAACTCATGATGATGTGAACGAATCTCAGCCGTTGGATTTATTTTGGAGAGCTGAGATCTACGCTATGTCACCTTATGACATGTCTATCCTATCTCACCCAATCTGAATCCGCTTGCAGCCGAGGCAGGCGCTAGAAAACGCGGGTTGTGGGGCCCACGAACGGAAAAACTGATCATGTGCGCGCACCGCTCCTAGGCCGCCGATCCACTGATCCGATCCCCTTTCCCCTTTCTCTTTGCCATGAGATCGATCCCCCTCTCCCTCTTGGCGCGAGCGCGAGAAAGGAGGCTGGCGCATCGATCTCTCCTTCCTGGCGCATCGATCCCCTCCCGCCAAATCGATGGACAGATCTCCCACCCACCGCATCGATCGATCTCCTTCCCGCGCAGTATTCCCTCTCACTCACTCCTTTTTCTTCTCTCCCGGTCCTATAACTTCTCCCGCGCGCGCGAAATTCATTTTGCTGGCAGGTAGAACGATGCCAAAGCCCCAAAATCGCCCCTGAAATCCATCCCCCCGGTGAATTTCAGGGAGGGCCACTGCCCCCCGTCCTCTTCCATAGTTCTACCGCACCAAAACCCTAGTTCCTTTTCACCATGTCTCGTCGGACGAAGAGAGAGGTTGCACCACCGCAAACTCATTTGCAAGCTCGTCTGGTCCTCCCGGTGTTCATATCCCGCCGGCAACACCGTATCCATATGGAGGTCCTTTGTTCCCCACCCCACTGCCATCATGGTTTCCTTTTCCACCGTCACAAGCCATGGCGGGCTCATCTGCATATCGTCCTCCTACTGATGCCAAGACGGACGTCCAAGTTGATTTGGAACAATGGTACATTTATTATTTGGCTTTATCAGTTCTGATTTTGACATGCTTCTGTTTCCCTGTCTAATATTGAGAGTTTCATGGTCGTTATTGTTTTGATCCATAACAGCACTAGTGCAATGAATTGTTTAGGAAAAAAGAGGTGATTTTGGTCTGATAATCAGGTTACCGTAGTAACTTGGCCCATGTAATTTGGTCTGCAATGATTTGTACCATGTATTTATGCAGCAATTTGGCTAAGTAAAAACAAGAGTCCAATGTTACATGTAGGGTAACCATGGTAGGGTAATTAGCAGTGGTGGTAACCATGTATTTATGCAGTAATTTGGCAAAGTAAAAACAAGAGTCCAATGTTACATCTATTACTAATTTGTTTTAGATTCGAGCACTCATTTACCACTATGAACTGAAATAAAATAATTTTGACTGCACATATCAATATACCATTTATACTGGGGTAATATTGGGTTAGGCCTTGCATTGATCAAGATTGGCTTGTTCATTCCTTTTTATATATGGGACATAACTGATCAAGATTTTCATGTTCATGATTTTTATATAGGGGACTAGAATCTCGCCCGCTCGGTGGTTTTGTTGATTTTATCAAAAACACCACGAACCTTATGCACCATGTGACTGAAGGGTGTCAGTTGCAGCCAATTAATGTTGAGAATGGCAACAATGGAAATGCCACTAGGACCGAGAAGCGCCTAGGCTGGTCAACTGAAGAAGACTTGAGGCTGGTAAGTGTCCTACGCGAGTTATTTATTTGGTAGTGGCATTCATAATACATGCAATTTAACAATAGTGAAATATTTGGAAATTGTAGGTCAGGCTTGGTTAAACAACTCAAATGATCCAATAGAATCGAATTTCAAAAAGAATGATAAATATTGGCTGATGTTGCTGCTGCTTACAATAGCACTACTCCGTCAAGCCGGTTTAGTAAGATCAAGAAAAAAGTTAGGAATTTTTGTTGCCCTTGGAAGGAGGCTAATTCATTATATGCTAGTGGGGAGTGTAATGTTGATCTCATGGACAAGGCGCTGAAAATGTATGAGAATGACTTCAAGGATGGGCGATTCTTGTTTATTGAGTGTTGGAATGAACTAAAAACCCAACCTAAATGGCATGCATATTTGGATCAGCTTGACAAGTCGAATAAAAGGAAGCGAGATTATGCTGATGCTACCCCCCTTGATGACGAGGAGATCCCACGTCCAATGGGAGTCAAGGCAGCTAAGGCGAAGCGTATAGGCAAAGGAAAAGGCAAGGTTCAAGATTGTACTGCTGAGCTAGAAGATGACACCCACAAGTTTATGGAAGCACATGAAGCAGCCAAGGAGCAGTAAAGTGAATTGTTGGAGACCCAGCGACGTGTTGCTAGTGATAATCTTGAAGCGAAGAAGGTGGGTCGCCAGACCGCTATGATTGCAGCATATAGAGAGTTACTGAACAAAGACACAAGAGATATGCCTGATGATGTGAGGTCTGAGCTTGTTGCAATGTTGAAATGCATGAGAGAAGATATATTTACAAAAAACCAGTGAGGTATGTGTCATGAAGTTCTTTGCAGTAGTAAAACATGCATATATCTACGTTGATTTTGAGCAGTAGTCAAACTATTGTACTGTATTCATAGCTCTAGTTCCAAACAACCATGCAACCAGTCCCTGTTTTGTGATAATTAATAGCATTCAGTCCAAATAATCATGCATATAGTCTCATATTTTGTGCTGATTAACTGCCATTAGTCTAAATAACCATGCAGTCAACCCAAATTTTCATGATTATTGTAGCTGGTCTAAATTAAATTGCAGTCAATTGCCAACCCATATTAAATTTCCATGGTTGTTGCAGCTGGTCCTAATTAAAATGCAGTCATAGTCCAGACATATTAAATTTTTCATGGTTATTGCAGCTGGTCCTAATTAAAATGCAGTCATAGTCCAGCCATATTAAAATTTGTATGGTTATTACAGCTAGTCCTTTGCAGCATCTATATATTACCTCTCATAACTTGAAACTGCCAACCCAATCTATCCTCCTCCTCCTCCTCCAACCATGTCGGACTCATCCTCCTATTCATCCTCTAACTCAGATGACCTAGACCCATCTAAAGTTCTAGACAAGTACATTTCTGAGCAGAATGTACTAGACTCATTTGCTTCTCGAATCATAGAGAAGATGAAGGGTAGGTTAGGAGCTGGGCGTTCGAAGCGCCAAGGTGGAACAAGGAAGACAATTCATAGGGATCATGTAGATGCCCACAGCCGTTTGGTGGCTGATTATTTTGCAGAGCATCCATTGTACCCAGAGTGGATGTTTCGCACAAGGTTCCGCATGCACAAGCCACTCTTTCTACGTATTGTTGAAGCCTTAGGTCAGTGGTCACCATACTTTACTCAAAGGGAAGATTGCTCTAGCCGCACAAGTCTCTCTCCACCTCAAAAGTGCACAGCAGCACTTCGTATGTTAGCATATGGCACACCTGCTGATGCACTAGATGAATATTTAAAAATTGGCAAGAGCACAGCCTTAGAATGCTTAGAAATGTTTTCACAAGGGGTGATTGAGGTATTTGGTGGGACGTACTTGAGACGCCCCACAAGGGAGGATGTAGAGCATATATTACATGTTAACGAGTCTCGTGGGTTTCCGGGTATGCTAGGTAGTATTGATTGTATGCACTGGAGGTGGGAAAGTTGTCTGAGGGCTTGGAAGGGTCAATTCACCCGTGGTGATTACAAAGTCCCAACAATTATCCTTGAAGCAGTTGCTTCACACGACCTATGGATTTGGCATGCCTTCTTTGGTGTCGCTGGTTCTAACAACGACATCAACGTGCTGAATCAGTCCCCTCTTTTCCTTGACACAGTGAGAGGTGAGGCTTCTCGGGTCCATTATTATGTCAACGGGGAAGAGTACAACCATGGGTATTACCTAGCTGATGGTATATATCCAGAATGGGCTGTATTCCAGAAGACTATACCACTTCCACAAACTGAGAAGCATAAGTTATATGCTACACATCAAGAGGGGGCAAGGAAAGATGTGGAGCGGGCTTTCGGGGTATTGTAAGCTCGTTTCAACATCGTACGTCGTCCGGCAAAGAAATGGAAGAGAAAGAGTGTTGGAAATATCATGCTAACTTGCGTGATTCTCCACAATATGATTGTTGAAGACGAGGGCGAGGATGCAATATGTGACCTAGACCTCAATAGAATTCCTAGGACATCAATAGTACTGCCTCCAGAAGTAACCAGTGGTGGTAACCAATGTTTTCGTGATGTGCTAAGTAGGAAAGCTACTATTTGTGCTCGTTCAATGCATACCCAGCTTAAAACTGATTTAATTTAGCACATTTGGAACCGGTTCAGGAATACGCAGCGTACATAACCATGGTAGGGTAATTAGCATATAATTTCCCCCTTTTTTGTCATATATAGAGCCTTTTAATTTACCCTTCTATATGTTTTATTTCAGGAACAATTAAGCTTTGATGTCTACTGTGTTGCACCTCTGCAACACACCTCTTACAGGTATATTTCCATCATATGGTATATT